ATAGGGGTTGCAATGGTAGTCTTGTCGTAGGGTTTCATTTTCTCTCTTTTTGGTCTTTCTGTTTTCAGATGAGTATTTCCCACCCCCCCATAAACATGAAGCACATGACATATATATCATGTGTAAGATTCTATGAAAAAATTAGAAGTAATTTAGAAGTAATTACATAACTTGCTACATTTAAGGGTCTATTTTCAAAAATACCGACTTTTATATAATATTATAAAAAGCTGATTTAAATTTTTAAGGCATATTTTTCTTCTGAATTGTCCTTATTGGTTATTTTAGACATGTTCGTTATATGGTTAGTTTTGTTTTTTTAGTCTGATTTTTTATTTTCCTTTTTATTTTTTATTTGATTTTTTGTAATCAATTATGTTGATTTTATTCTGATATGGTTTTTTTAACCGGTTATGCTTTTCCCTCTTCTACCATTTTTGAATTCATTCATCCATTGACGTTTTTTTCACAGGTTGTGCTCCTTTTTTTACGTTTTTTTTTTTCTGCATATGTTCTTTAATTGACGCTGATTGTTCTGGAAGAGCACCCAAAGGAAAGGTTGGACTTTTTTGTTTCAATTGTTTGGGAGTTTTTTTTTTTCTTTTTATTGTTTTTTTTTGTTAATACAATCGTTTGGAAAGGTTGGTGTATGTGTTTCTTTTCCTTTTTGCAATTCTCAACGTGTGTTTATGATTTTAGGTAAAATCTCCAATCTGGTATTGGATTTGAGCAGCACATGTATATTTTTTTTAAAAATATGTATATTTTCTCTTAAAACACGTATATAGGTGTTTAGACAAATTATAAGTGTCTCTGCACATTATACATGTTTTAAGAGAAAATATACATGTTTTAAAAGAAATATACATGTGCCGCTCTAGTCTGATATTGGATTGGAGACAATTCCTATGATTTTATTGGTGTATATTTATTTATTTTTGCATCCTTTTGAAAGGTAATAGCATAACTTCATTAAAAAGCCATTAACATGTAAAGATATAGGGCAAAATTAGAGTCAAGAACGGGTGCTACTCATATGACTAAACATTACAAACGTACCCCTTATCCAATAACGGAGAATACTCCAATTATTAGCACTATAATAGGGTTCGATCACTTCGAAACGACTCTAAATGAACCACATCTCAGTTTCAAAATGGACTACATAACTCGGACTTAGAGCGGTGAGGAGACCACTATCTAGCCAAGAGCCATCACTGTTATAACAAAATAAATAAAAACATAACATAATAAACTCTACAAAGATCCCAATAAATCAAACCAGTAAAATTGAGTCCCTTAACGACGGAGGTGTGTGAAACACAATAAAAGTGGCGTAGGAGAAAAGCTCTGAAAATGGCAACAAAAGCACCAGAGACACGACGGTGCATGGGACCCACGCATCGTTGCCAACTAGTGGCAACTGCCACACGCTCCAGACCACCTTCCTTGCCTCCCTTTGACGATCTACTTATCGGAGTTTTAATGGAATCTTGCGGCGAACGCATCCTAGATCTAAGGTAGAAGACCAGAAATTACTTCCCCTTGAATAAGTCCATTTTAGTGACTATCCACACTTCTGTCGACACGAAGCCGATGTCGATGATCTCTGTGATCTCTCCGATGAACTTTGGAGGCCGGCACTCTGACGAATAGCCCTCTAAGCTTAATGTAGAGCACTACTATATAACTTTCTCTCTCTAGAACTCTGACAACTAGAGTTTATTTTTAAAATTGATATATGTATCGTTTTTTCTTTTCTTCCATGTGAATATGTGTATTTTTTAATATGTATAATTTTTTCTATTTTGTTATGATATTATAATTCAATTAATGAGATTTTTGATGTTGTTCGGTGAATGAATTTTATTCCGTGTGATGTTTTTGTTATATCTTTATTAGAATTTTTATTTCATTATGATATGATCATTATTATAGTGAAAAATTTATTCTTTTTTGTAAATTTGTGTTTTTTCGTCCTCTTAAAATTACATTTTGTTTATTTTTTGTTTGAGTCATTTCGAACTTTATATTCTTTTTTTTTTAACTCTGAGATCATTACATTAACGAAACAATTTCGTATGTGCATGATTTTCATGTTTGTTGATTGTTTGATACACCTTGTAATTTATTTTCATTCCTGCATCATATATTTTGTGTCATAATTATTTGTCATATATTCTGTATCATTATAATAATGAGAATTTTTCTATGAATTCGTGTATTCTTGCATGTTTATTGTTTGAGACTTTTTGCAAAATTCTTATATTCAGTACGTTTTATAAAGAAATAATCATTAACGTAATGAAATTTTTTTTTATGAGTTCATTCTCGTGTTCTTTATTAGAAATTTTGTTTCATTATCATCTGATCATAATTTTAATGAAAATAATATATTCAATGTATTTCATAATAATACCATCATTAAAATAACGAAATATTTTTTAATAAGTTCCTTTTAGTTTTTCTTCTTTATTAGAAATTTTGTTTTACTATGATCTTATCATAATTTTAGTGAAAATAATTTTGTTTCAGTGTCTGATTTTGTCCGAGTCATGTCAAACTTTATATTCATTATTTTTTCATAATTCTGGAATCATTACAAAAATGAAACGATCTATTATGTGTTAATGAATACATGCATGTTGATTGTTTGAGACTTGTTGCATTTTTTTTTTAATTTTCAGTGTCTTTCAAATGATATCACCATTAAATTAATGAAAAGCTTCTTGATGTGTACATTTTTGTGTTCCATATGTATTCTGTTTCATAATGATCTGATCATTAAATAATGAAAATATTGTTTAATTTTAGGGTTGAGGGACTCAATTTGGAGGAACTATTGAGGTTGCAGACTTTTAAAGCTAAGTAAATATATTCAGTGGATTAGAAACTTTCCCTTTTTAAGCATAATTAGATTAGATTTTATTAAATGCAATAATTTGTCTTTTGTATTTTAAACTTAGAATATTTTATATTTAGATTTTGTTTCATTTTCTTTCCTATTATGTTGTTTCATTATTTTTTCTCTTTTTTTTTTAATTATATAAGGGTAAAAATGTCTTTATATGTGTGATAGTAAATAGTTTTGTAAATAAACAAGAAAATATGCATTTTTTAAAAGAAGGTATTCATAATTGGTATTTATGTAAATAATCAGAAATAGATGGAAAGTGTTTAGTTGTTAATGATTGTTGTCAACTAGGGCGCGTTTGATATCGTTTTTGAAAACGTTTTTCTCATTTTTCGAGATGTTAAAAATGAAATTAGTTTGAAAAACACGTTTGGTGCATTAATTACTTAAAAACAAGACGAAAAATGGTCTTTTCCATTTCTCTTCTTTGCACAGGTTTTTGAAAACGATACAAGATCGTTTTCCCCTTTTCATTTCCATTTTTCATTTTCGTTTCAGTTCTTTTTTTTTTTTAGAAACACACCAAAATGAATCATCCGAAACCCATTTCTTCATGTATAATATTTATTTAATATATTTAATATTGTTATTTATTTAATATATTATTATTTTAAATATTATTACATGTTTTTAAAAATTAAACCACTAAACACAATTTTAATTTTTTTAAAACTGAACAATCTCAGAATAAAACTACCAAACGCATTTTCAAAAATGATTCCAAAATGAAAATGAAAACGTTTTCGTTTTCATTTTCATACAGAAAATAAAATCATTTTAGAACGAATTCCAAACGCACCCTTTGTTTTTGTTTTTGTTTTGTTTTGTTTGTTGTTTTTTTTTTTTTTTTTTTTTGTAAAGATCAAAATATTACCTTTTAAAAAGTTAAGAGACGGTGTAAATTTTTTATAATCTATTATGTAATCTAATGTCTTAACTTTATCCTAGTGGTATTTTTCTCCCTACGCTGCAAAAGAATTCTACTCGATATTAGGGTTCTAAATTTGAGTTTAGGGTAATTTTGACAAAAACTTTTTAAAAGTGTGGGTTAGAATTTTTATCCTTTTAATCTTGATTCATAACTTTTTTAGTCTAATAATTACACTAACAAAAGAGTATTTATTAAGAATAAGTGGTAAAAATTCAGACTCATGCGCTCTAAATTCTCCATTTATAATCCACAAAAAGATCAATAGTCTCGATCACTTCGTCGAACATTCAAAAACTGAGTTGGTGGGTCCGGTGATTAAGCCCTCTATTCTCCATTCAGTCTAGGCTATCTAATAAAATAAACAAAACTTGCAAAATGATCAACTTCATCTTTTACCCTTTTTTTTTTTTTTTTTTCATGCTACCATGCTGAAATACTAACCAATTTTTATTATCTTTGCAGCGTAATGCTGCATGACAAATCAATTTCAAATCATAAAATATATTTACTAGAAAACTTGCATCGAATCAATGCTCACTAATCCAATTATTCAAGGATAAAATAAGATGGTGATAAAACTGAAATTGCTAGCGAAACATAGTGATCGATATTAAGGGCCACAAGTCCTTTGGCAGAAAACATTAAAGGAACCTAAATTAAACAAGTACGATGATAAACTCAACACTGTGCCAGAGTGGTTTTAGCTATATAAGTATGCGGGGCATCAACTATCAAGTACAGAATGAGTGATTAATAATGAGTGATTAATAATGCATAAATTTAAACATTAGATCAAATATTTGAAAACAATGATGTAGACATGAGTAAGATACATGCCTCGTTCATTTCACCGATTCGAGTTTTCAGCTCTAAATTTCTACAGTAAAAAACTCTCAAAAAATATCACATCTAACTTTTTTTCTACAGTGAAAAGCTCTCAGAAAATATCACATCTCAGCTCAAATTAAAAACTCAAATCCGCGAAATGAACGAGGTCACAATATATCTAGTTCAAAAATTTTCAGTTACAGGAAAGAAAAGTTATCAGCAATGAGATTAGGCATCATAAATGCTTAAGCTTACATCACATCAGGTCACCGGAAAAATATTTATCACAGTAAATATAAATTTGTAGAAATGTGTGAAGTAATAAGATAACAATTTCCAATTGAGTTTGTTCCAGTGGCAAAATATTATGAAATAACTATAACAAATAATATTAGCACAAATAAATAACTATAATAAATAATATTGCACAAATAAAACACAATCCATTATTTACCAATCCACACCCAAATTTCTTGAATGGAAGAGTTTGTCGATATATAGAATTACAGGTGCAGACGCAACAACGTAATTTTGCATTTGAATCCTGGCCGAGGAATCTGAAAGGAAAACAAATTGCAAGAGCTAATGATTACTCGGAGCAAATAATAATAACAATAATGATGATGGTGATCCATCCCATTCTAGAAAAAACACTTTGTCTTCTATGATGGCTCATAGCAAATTATAATAAAAATAAGAGTATTTTACACATTTATCCTTGAACTTCTGGCTTGAGCAATTTGCCTCCTAAACTTTTAATTTTGAGAAGTTACCTCTCAACAAGTAAAATTGTTGCAACATGTCTTTTTTTTTTTTTTTGGGATAAGAACACAAACTTCATTTATAATGAAAGGGCACAATACAAATTAAGTAACAAGATGGGTTAGAGATCCATCTTCAACCGGAAACAAAACAATAAAAAGCAAAGGCAGCTGTCGAAAAGATAAGAGATAATTAGTTAGGGTTGATTAAGATAAGTTTTAGATTAGGATATGCTTAAAGTCAAATAAAACAAATCAGTTTCAAACAGATTCGTTATCCTAGATTTAGATAAGTTTGAATTTGAATTTTATTAGGATAGATGTTATTGAGTGGATAAGATTTTATTGAAGAAATCCGTGGCACTCCTAGGGCTATTTATACCTATAATTTACCGATTAAATCAATAAGAATAGATGAGTTTTTCCCTTCAAAACTTACGTGGTATCAGAGCCGTGGCTGACTTAGAGTGCCAATGGTTAAAACAACTATGAACGGGGCAGTTAAAGGCTCCTTATTGAATGGAGAAGTCACCGAGAGTGCTGTAGCAGTTCAAAATTCCCTACAACTAACGACTCACAAACGGTGAAACTCGTTATAGATGGAAAAAGGAAACTTGGACACTTGACTGGTGAGGTGAAGAAACCAGTAGATGATGATTCCAAACTCAAAGCATGGAGATCCGAAAACTCCATGATTACAGCCTGGCTTATCAAGTCTATGGAGCCAGCAATAGGGAAACCATTCTTATTTATTCCCACTGTCAAGGAGTTATGGGAAGCCGTCTGTGACACATATTCAGATTTAGAAAATCCTTCCCTAATCTCCGAACTCAAGACTCGGCTATGGAATTTGAAGCAGGGAGATAAGGAGGTGACAGCATACTACAACAAAAAGGTGACACTTTGGCATGAATTGGATCAATGTTATGAGGACGAATGGGAAAGGTAGTGTGCGATACTTGAAGAGAGAGGAAGATGAACGAGTGTACATGTTTCTTGCAAGACTTAACCGTGAATTAGATGAAGTACGAGGGAGAATTCTAAGCCGAAAACCACTGCCAAACATACGAGAGGTCTTCTCGGAAGTAAGGAGAGAGGAGGCGCGAAGAAACGTCATGATGAACAAGCCAGAAATCACGCTTGAAACTAAAAGCTCAGCATTGACTTCCAAAGGCCCGGAAGTTGATGGAGACAGAAGGAACTCAAGGCGAACAGAGAAACCTTGGTGTGATCACTGCAAGAAGGCATGGCATACACGGGAGACGTGTTGGAAACTGCATAGAAAACCTCCAAACTGGAAGAAAAAGGGAGATAACTGCGCATTCCAGGCCTCCAATGAAGATCAAGGGCAACAGTCTTCCTCAGAAAAGCTCTCAATCACAAAGGAACAATTAGACACTCTGTACAAACTCCTTCAGTCTTCCAAACTATAAGTAAATCCCTCACCCTCGTGTTCTTTAGCCCAGAAAGGTAACTACCTCACCGCTGCCCTAGTAAGTGTCAATCCTAATTCTAGTCACCCATGGATCATAGATTCAGGAGCAACTAACCATACGACAGGATCTGCAAACCTATTTGTCTCATATACTCCATGTACAGGGAATCAAAAAGTAAAAATAGCTGATGGATCTCTTTTAGCTATGGTTGGAAAAGGTTCAGTTGCTATTTCACCGTCTATCACCCTTCGTGATGTCTTGCATGTCCCTAAACTGTCATGCAACCTTTTATCAATCAATAAATTGATCCATGATATGAATTGTCAAGCTCATTTTTTCCCGTCTCATTGTGAATTCCAAGAATTGAACTCGGGGAAGACGATTGGCAGTGCTGAACAGAAAGGAGGACTCTATTTCTTTGAAGATGGATCGGCCCTGACAAGACAAGCCCAAGGCACTTGTTTCAATTCTATTTCTATTTCTAGTAAAAATAAAGTCATGCTATGGCACTTAAGGTTAGAACATCCTAGTTTCTATTATATAACGTATTTGTTTCCTAGTTTATTTATCCATAAAAATCCATCTTCTTTTCAATGTGAAATTTGTGAGTTAGCAAAACACCACCATGCATCCTTCCCTTCACAGCCATATAAACCTACTGAACCTCTCTCTATGATTCATAGTGATGTTTGGGAAGCCTCTCGGGTAACAACACAATCAGGAAAAAGGTGGTTTATCACATTTACTGATGATCACACTAGGATAACATGGGTGTACTTGTTAAAAGAAAAATCTGATGCCGAACAAGCTTTCAAGGATTTTCATAATATGGTAAAAACCCAATTTAGGGCTCAACTTAAAATCTTTCGAAGTGATAATGGGAAAGAATACTTTAACAAGATTCTAGGAAAACACTTTGCAAAATATGGCATCATACATCAAGGGTCATGCACTGATACTCCCCAGCAACATGGAGTATCGGAAAGAAAGAATCCTCTCCTTGAAATTGCTAGAGCCCTACCCTTTACAACTAGAGTGCCTAAATACTTGTGGGGAGAAGCCATACTTACAGCCACCTTCTTGATCAATCGAATGCCCTCAAAAGTTTTACAATTCCAAACTCCAATTCATGTTTTTAATAAATGTTTTCCCACATCACGATTAATAAGCAATATTCCATTAAAAATATTTGGATGCACTGCGTTTGTACACATTCACAATCATAATCGTGGAAAACTTGACCAAAGGGCCAGAAAATGTGTTTTCGTTGGCTACTCGCCCACTCAAAAGGGATATAAGTGCTTTGACCCAATTTCTCGAAAATATTGTTACAATGGACGTAACATTTTTCGAAACAAAACCATTCTTTGGAGGTGATCATCTTCAGGGGGAGAATAGGAGTGAAGATGACAACCTTAGACATTCTTTTGAGGATATTCTTCACATTGAGCACACTACCCCAAACTCGATTCTTAGTCCACAAGACCAAGACAAACAATGCACTGTACCTGCACCCACACATCCCACACCGGACCAAATCATTGAAAAAGATAATCCATCTCTTGAAAACTTGGATTCAGAAAATTCAGATAATGGAAACTAGGAAAAATTCTCTTCTTTGCCTGAAGAAGACCACTTAGAAACAGAGATGTGTGCGAAACCAAGTGAAAAGGATATTGGGTTTCGTGTCTACTCAAGGAAGAAAAATCGTCAAAGGAAGGAAGACACCACTGTACATCAATGCCATGAGTCCAATCCGAGGGAAATTTTAGATCCCGAATCACTAGGTAAAACTCCTTTGATTCCTCTTGTGTCTGAGTCCGATGAGTCCTTAGAAATTCCTATAGCCCACAAGAAAGGTATTAGGTCATGCACTAAACATCCTCTATCTAGATTTGTGTCCTATGACAGATTATCACCATCCTTTCATACTTTCACCTCACAACTTTCCAGTGTCGAAGTTCCTAGAAATGTTCCAGAATGGAGGGAAGCAATTCTTGAGGAGATGAAGGCCCTTGACAAAATGATACCTGGAGTGTGGTAGATCTTCCAAAAAGAAAGAAGACAGTAGGCTGCAAGTGGGTGTTCACAATCAAATATAACGCTGATAGGACCTTAGATCGATATAAGGCAAGGTTGGTAGCAAAGGGATTTACTCAGACTTACGGCATAGACTATTCAGAGACATTTGCACCGGTTGTGAAGCTAAACACTGTAAGGGTGCTTATCTCAATTGCAGTCAACCTGGATTGGCCACTACAACAACTGGATGTAAGAAATGCATTCCTAAACGGAAATCTAGAAGAGGAAGTCTACATGGAGCCGCCTCTAGGATTTGACAAGAGATTCGGCTCAAAAGTCTGTAAGTTAAGGAAATCCTTGTATGGTCTCAAACAATCACCGAGAGCATGGTTTGAGAAATTCACCCAATCTGTCAAAAAACAAGGATACACTTAGAGACAGACAGATCACACAATGTTTATGAAGTTCTCAGGGGGAAAGTAGCTATTCTAATTGTCTATGTGGATGACATTATCCTCACTGGAGACGATTTGTCAGAGATGGACAGGCTCAAAAAATGTCTAGCATCTGAGTTTGAAATCAAAGATCTGGGATTGTTGAGATACTTTCTAGGTATGGAGGTTGCCCGATCAAAGCAAGGAATTGTGATTTCTCAAAGGAAGTATGTACTCGATCTCCTAAAGGAGACAGGCATGACAAGTTGTAGACCCTCTGAAACGCCAATGGAGCCGAATGTGAAACTCGGAGATAGCGAGAAGAAGGTTCCTGTTGACATAACTAGATACCAGAAGTTGGTTGGTAAGCTGATTCATTCCTCACATACGCGTCCAGACATAGCTTTCGCAGTAAGTGTGGTGAGCCAATTCATGCATTCTCCATATGAAGAACATCTAGAAGCCGTATACAAAATCCTGAGATACTTAAAGAGTACTCCAGGAAAAGGATTATTCTTTAAGAAGAATGAACAACGGGGGATTGAAGCCTATACTGATGCTGATTGGGCTGGTTCAATAATTGATAGGCGGTCTACCTCTGGGCATTGCACGTTTGTGTGGGGTAATCAAGTTACGTGGAGATGCAAGAAGCAGAGCGTAGTGGCTAGGAGTAGTTCGGAAGTAGAGAGTAGTGGCTAGGAGTAGTTCAGAAGTAGAGTTCATAGCTATTTCCCAGGGAATCTGCGAAATACTGTGGCTGAAACGTGTGCTTAAGGAATTAAGAAGGCCTATAGAACAACCAATGAGGCTTTACTGCGACAACAAAGCTACCATCAGCATTGCACACAATCCAATGCAACACGATAGGATGAAGCATGTGGAAATATACCGACACTTTATAAAA